AACACGCAGTGACCATGGAGAGGACGCTGGCAAATGTGCCCTTGGGGCGCAGGGGTGGGGGGAACACAGTCTCTGGCCCGTAGTTACAGCCCCTGTCCTGACCGCTGCCCACACGCCCGAGTGTGCACTCACGCCGTGGCGTGACGGGTGTGCAGAAAACACGCTCCAGCGAGACTCAGCTTCGTCCCCTTCATCCCCTACACGTAAGCCCAAATTCTGCACACACTTCACAAGTAGATATCAGTGGATTCACATTTTATGTAAAGCCTGATCTGCCTGCATACATTCTTTCTGTGTTAACCACCACGAGTCAAACTTCGACAAGCCGATTTGCACACATTTGACTTTTGAGTCCATTTCTTGAGCCCCGACGGGCCACCCAGGGACACCGTGGCCTTCTGATTGCATGTGTCTAGGGCTGTCACTTGTGTGACCACATGAAGCAGCTAGAACCCCAAAGTGATGACCGAAGCGGGCGTGCGCGAGGTGGTGAAGGGAGAGGCTGGGCTGGCCCAGCCCCAGGCAGCTGAGAGCCGGTCAGGGCCCCGGAAGCAGCCTACAGCGCCGTGGGACAGAGAGGGTGGGGGCTCTGCCACTGACCACAGGCTTCCACGTCCAACCCCCCCTGAGCCCTCCGTCATAGGGTGTTTCACAGGCCACGTGGCCCCGCCGCAGACAGTGGGTGGGGAGGGGGTGCCTTCCTCAGGCACGTTAGCGTCCTGGGGGCACCTTCATTCTGTGGCGTCAAGGCCGGAAGCAGTGTCCGTCAGAGTCCACAGCCCCGGGAACCGTACCCCAGCACCCCGGCCCGTGTGACCTCGGCAGTGACCGTGAATGAGTCCGTGGGGCCGGGTCGTCTGAGCTGGGAGCGGCTGAGAGGCCCCGGGAGGGAGGAGGGAGGAAGAGGCACCCTGCGCTGGGGACAGGCTTTCTCAAAGAGGCCCCCGAGCAGCTGCTTGACGTGTCCCCCCGCCCCCAGCCCGGGTGACAGGCTCCCGCAATGTCGACAAGTGAGAACACGAAACTCCGAAAGGCTGACCCCATCACAGGCGTGCCCAGCAGTTCATCGAGGCGGCTTCCACCTCGATCCGGATCTGGCATACAGCTGCGATTTCACACCGGAGCTTTCTAGGAAACTGACATCACCCCAAACATGCTGTTAAGAATGAGGTGACTGTCACTCTTCGGGCTAATTCATTCCACCCAGATTTCTCCTCTCCTACTTTCTCTTCTTTCAGCTCGATTGTGGCTAATACAAACTAAATAAAACTTGGTCATCTTTGCATTTGTTCTCTTCTATCACAAAAGTATCCTTGTTTGAAGAGAACAGCAAGTCTGGAAAATGTGAATGTAAATAATATTTCTTAACTAAACGCCTAGTTCCCTGTTAGAATCCACATCCCAGAGCCAGCTTGCGGAATTATTTCGATGGTTAGAGACAGGTGACCTGCGGGCTTCCCGTCTCTCCCTCCCACGGCTCTGCGTTATCTCCCATCAGTCTGCTAGTTCACAGCCCTGGGTTGAACAACGTAACATAAACTCATTCTCCAAGATACACATCATATGGCCACAGGCAAAAAAAAAAAAAAAAAACAACTATATTCCAACAGCTTTTGTTTCTGCCATCTGAGAGATCACCCATCTGCTTAAATAATCATATTCCATTTGCTGGTGCGCCGTGTGCGCTTAAATACAGCAACGTGCCTTGCTCCGGTAAAGGCACAGGCGATCTCTGCAAACGATGTGTGTGCTTGGAAGTTCTTGAAATAATTGCAGCTTCGAAACAGAAAGCTAAACAAAACATTGGCAGGACCTTGTGGGAAACACAAGGGACGACCGTGGGGTAAGAATAGTCTGCGCTGCGGGCGGGGCTGGGCTCTCCCCTCGGCTGCAGCGTCTTCAGCCTGCGAGTGTTGGGACAGATGGTCCACGCAGACTCCAGCAACAGACACAGGAGGAATGTTGTGCTAGCAAGAAAGCCAGATCAACCCTGCTTTCTTTCAATTCAAATACGGCCAGGTGAAAGCGGAGCGGCGGGGTCCCGGGAAGCCGTGGCCTCGCCTGTACGTGTTCAGCAGCCTCCCTGGGCAGGACGGCGGGCCAGGCCTGCGGGGGGCCCCAGGCGTGCACAGGCGCCAGTCCCCTGGGCCCAGGGTGCCTCGACCCCGTCCAGGGGCCACTGGGGTGCGCTGCCGACTGTTGGGACCGCGGTGATCTCAAAAGGCTACGGGGGTCCCAGGGACACCCGGGAGGTGGGAGAGGTGCAGCGGGGGGAGGGGGAGGGGCCCTCAGCAGAGCGCAGAAGACTGAGACCACCCATCGCACGGCCGGACAGCGGAGAGGAGGCTGGGACGGGCGGTCCGATGGCTCCGCTGGCCGGGAGGCCGGGCGCACCGGCCCGCGCAGACTGAGCAGTGCCCTCCCTCCGCAGCAAAACCCGGCTGGAGAGGCTGCCCCAGCTCGCCGTGGCCCTCCCGGCGGCGCGACGTGCTCCCAATAAGCACCTGGCCTGTGCGGAGGCCTGGGGGCTAGTGACCAAAGGTTACACCAGCCGGAGTTTGCAGTTCAGTTTTCTATAAATCGAGGTCTTAGGTGCCGCCGGAGGGGAAGCTGACACTCACGTGCTTAGTTCTGCAGGCCAGAAGGAGTATCACCCGAGGGACATACACAGGAGAAGAAATGCACATGCCCACTCGGAAATCTGTGCGCAAGTGTTTAAGCCACGTGTGGCACAATCTCAAGTGTCTATCAAGTGAAGGGTGAGTAAGCCAAATGCGGTGTGTCCATATAATGGAGTAATGTTGAGCAATTCGGGGCACGCAGCATTGCTGGAAGCGGTGGCCATGGGTGACCCCTGAGGAGCGTGCAGAGTGAAATCCCAGAGAACAGACAGGCAGTGATGACGCTCCCACGAGAGGTCCCCAGGTGGGACCTCCGGAGACAAAGTCGGAGGAGGGGTGAGGGGCGCGCAGGTTGCTAACGGAGCAGAGCTTCTCTGGGAGGTGATTTGCGGAGGTCTGAAGTCCACTGTAGCGGAGGTTGCTTGTGTCTGTGGATTGACCAAAACTGCTGAGTTGTACACATGATGGACTTGTTGTAGGTAAACTACATCGCGGTAAAGCTTCTTTACAAACGAGAGGATGGTTTCACACAGAACGAGCAGTTTCCCAGATTGTTTTAGAAAGTAAAACGTGGGTCAGTAAGGTGAGAAGACCAGAGGGCGGAAGTCTGACGAGGTTGTGTCGCTAGGCCTCCCCTGCAGGGCGAGACGCTGGTGGGGTGAAGGGGAAAGTATCTTAGTAGTAGGGGTGTGTCTGATAGAGTCCACCAGAAGTTCTGCACAGAGGCCCGGGAGTAACGAGTGCAAGGAAAGGAAAAGCCCATCTGGCCAAATGAATGAGTCATACGCCGGTCGCATGGCCACCCCTGAGCTGGAGGACAGGCCGGCATAACGCTACCCAGCGTGCAGGGCAGAGGGAACAGCAGTGTCGGCCTTGTCAGGGCTAAGTCATGCTGCCTTGGCCCACCACTAACAGCCGGGGGTGGGGGCCGTGACCTCAGAGGGAACCTCAAGTCAGGGAAGCCGAAGCCCGTCGCTGGGCGATACACACCAAAGAAGGCACACAGACCCGGGAGAGACGAAAGCCAGGGGCAGGTGCTCGGGGTAGTCAGTGTAGGAAAAGAGAGCAAAGGGCTCCTTGGACCCAGGACTTGCACCAAAATACCTGATGAGCGTCAAGAAGAAGAAGGCAGACCAATGCGAAGTGAACGGTGGACTGGACAGTGACTCCCACGGGCTGACACATAAAAGGCGGGCGAGCACACGATACAGAAGACCAATGCCGTCCGTGGTCAGGAAGATCAAAGCACAAGGGGTCACCGGAGAGACGCCTGTGGAAAGGCAGGCTGAGGACCCCAAACAGCCGCGGAGCACGGGGACGTGAGCACCGCACGTGCTGAGAAACCCGACAGGAAACTACCCACCCGCCCGCCTCACGCTGTGCGTGCACACCCGAGACTCGACAATTCAAGCCGTAGGTGTCTACCCCGAGCACACAC